ATAAATTCAAAAATAATTAATTTCTGGAAGTTAAAAAATTTTTGAGTCGGGACATTTTTAGTCAGTCGGTCGGGAGAGGGCAAGCAAACAATTTTTTAAAGATGGCCTTGCCCATAACTTTTGAACGGTTGGTGCTAGGGTTTTCATACTTCACATATGTATTCCCTGTGACAAGACCTTCCTATAGAAACACACAACTTTGACCCTTTGACCTTGGAGTAAAACCTACTTTTGAAATACTTTAACCTGGCCATAACTTATGAACGGTTCATATTTCACATGTGTATTTCTTGCTAGAAGGCCTTTCCTTTTGACCATTTGACCTTAATATTTGACTTACTTTTGAAAAACTTTAACCTTTTCCATATCTATTCAATGGATGCTGCCAAGGCTTTCATATTTCACAGGTATGACCTTACTTTGGGTACCAACATATTTGATTTAATTGCATTTGAGAAAGCTGAACCTTTGCTCTAAGGCCATCTTTAAAAATATGTTTGCTTGCCCTTTCCCGACTCAGGATAAATATATTGGGTCGGTAGGTAGGGGGAATTTTTTTTATTCAAAAGTACTTGCGAATATGATAATTAAAATAGTTATTAATGGGGATGAGAAAACTTAGAAATGAATTTAAAAATAATTAATTTCTGGATGCTATAAAAGTTTTGAGTCGGGGCATTTTTAGTCAGTCAGTCGGGAGAGGGCAAACAAACAATTTTTTAAAGATGGCCTAAGTTGATTAGTTTACGGTTACGAAAAAATACAAATAAAACAAAGTTTTTGTGTAATTTACCCACAGGCACTTGTTTCGTATACGGGACACCCTTACTTATTTTTACCACAAGGTACCTAACTCAATTTCAGGCAACCCCGCTTCAAGCTCATATTTTGTTAATATATCAATCATTAACCTACATTAAAATGACATCGTTGGTTTCTCGAGACTTTTCTTGTCAATTTAATCGTTTCAGTCGTTTCTGGTCGAGCCTCTTTATTGTAAACCACTCGTTTATTCCTCGAAAATTACCTCGATACAAAATAAGACTTTGAATGGGATACAAAAGCTTCCGGTTGGGGTTATAACTGAAGGATAAACCAGAGACCTCGGAATGGAATACTCGGAATGGAATACTCTGACACATACTGATGTAATCTGCTCAGCTGCATCAACATTTTTTGACCTTGACCTTTCCTTTGACCTTGACATCACTTTTCTTAAATTAGTGTTTAGCTCAGTTTTAAAGAAACCATTCAAGATATTTTATCAAACTTCATATGCTAATATATACCGAGGTAAGCTATCAACTCATCAAACTTCATACACCAATACAAATTTTCCTGTTGCATTACTATATACTCGGGGGGGAATTCATGTCCTATGGACATATTTCCAGTTTTGGGTATATTTCAGTAACTTTGCCAACATCGTTTTACTTTATAGTAATTAAATAAACCCGACAAAAGTAACTTCATGTAGTTTTTCTTGTACGCAAAAGTTTATTGAAATCACTCTCCCTTAAATCGATTTAATAACACGTCCGTGGTACCAAAAAAAAAAAGATGTGTTTGTGAAACACTGATGCCCATGAATAACAGCTTCTAGCGAAGGTTAAAGTATCTCAAATACAAGTCAATCTCCAAGGTCAAGGTATAAAATATGTTATAATGGACTTGTGTCAATAGACATACCTGGTAAATATGAAAGCCAAAGCACCAACTATTCAAAAGTCATGGTCAAGGTTAATGTTTTCTAAAAGGGGGTCAAGCTCCAAGGTCAAGGTCAAAGGGTCAAAATTAATGTTGCGCTGGGGAAGACCTTGTCATAGGAAATATACATGCAAAATATAAAAACCCTAGCACCAACTGTTCAAAAGTTATGGCGAAGGTTAAAGTTTTTCAAAAATAGGTCAAACTCCAAGGTCAAGGTCAAGATTGTTAGTATCATAAGGAAGGCCTTGTCACGAGGAATAAACCTGTAAAATTTGAAAGCCCTAGTACTAACTGTTCAAAAGTTATGGCAAAAGTGAAAGTTTTTCAAAAGTATGTCAAACACCAAGGTTAAGGTCAAAAATATTTAAAGCCATGGAAAGGTCTTGTCACGAAAAATACACATGTGAAATATGAAAGCCCCAGTTTTTCAAACTCCAAGGTCAAGGTCAAAGGGTCAAAGTTGTTGGTATCCAAAGGAAGGACTTGTCAGGAGAATTAAACATTTAAAGTATGAAAGCCATAGCACCAACTCTTCAAAAGTTATGGCCAAGATTAAAGTTGGGTAATTTTTTGCAAAAGTGGGTCAAACTCCAAGATCAAATATGTTGGTACCCAAAGGTAGATCTTGTCACAAGGAATACACTTGTGAAATATGAAAGCCATAGCTCCAACCAATCGAAAGTTATGGGAAAGGTTAGAGTTTTTGCGGACAAACAGAAAGACTCCCGGCATACGGACGGACAGGGCAAAAACTATATAACCCCCCATATTCGATTACGGGGCATAAAAAATATGTCAGGTATTTCATAATGCTTCCCCTTCGCTGCAATCGCATCTACTTTCTTAGGACTAAGTCCAGAGCTTTAGATGTATTAGATGATACTTGAAAAGAATAATTTTTCTACATACCGGTTTACTAAAAAGTATGCGTTTCTATGAAAGTTACTTTTTTGTCACCAGATCTTTCCTTCAAACAAGGTTAAAAAGCCATGTAAACTAAAATTACGTTACAATTCATTTTTCTCAAGCTTTGTTGCCTTTTTTTTTTATATATTAAAGTGTTTAATTACTAATTCACGGTTTTAAAAATTATGTCACGACAATCCAAGATGCAACACAAGTCTCCAGTTTAATCTGTTTCTCACATTTTCACTCCAACACGTCAGCGCATCACAAAGAATATGGCAGTCTGTGCTGCGAAGATGAACTTGATACTAGAAAGTAAATTTAAAGACATTTGATACAATATTCAGAGAAGTAAAAAATATGTGTAGAAGATCTCCGCTTGTCTAAACACCGGAAGTGGGCCATTGTCACGTCACACGTATTAATGTCCATAAAACATGATAGCTAGTCATTCCTGGTGGTTAAGAATAAGGTAAAGATACAATCGCTTTTACGAAGATAGGAATTTGATGAGGTGCATCACTAAAACTTTTATGACAATATCTTTTCTTAATCCCACAATTCGAGCGTGTTCTTTCAACCATGCCGGGAGGCTGATAAAAATTAACGTGTTGCACTTGAGTTATCAACACAGCGAAAACAGTGATAAGAACTTAATGGCAAATCGCATTAAAACTATTTAAGTGTACAAATCTGAAGCAATTCTTCATTATCTAGACAATAAAAACTCTAAATGAAATTGGGGGTGAACCAATTCGGAATTAACACATTGTAAAACTCTGAACAAGGAGACGTTTGCCAAAGCCATAAACCACCCACCAAACATTTCACACTGACACAGTTATTCTAACATACCAGTCTTCTAACTTACTCCCTTTCCAGGTCAGGTGAATACTTGGTCTAATTCAAAAAAATTATTGTACTTTATTGATCACTTAGCTAAAAAAAAAAGCTGAGAAAGAAAAGACAGGCTTTTTAAGTCACCTATGTCATGCAGGTAACCTACTGCTTTCCCCCGTCCGTTCTGTAATATGTGAAGTGAACTTTTGAACATTTTTAGTTTCTTATAATGAATTCCATAGTCTCCTCTACCTCCCCAGTGCTGGAGGGTTGGGACCAAAACCATCAAAATTCAGGCAATCTTTAAAAATCTTTACTCCTGGACAAAGAGCTGGCAAACTGCTCTCATGGTTATGAGTTGCCTATCTATCAAACTTGTGAAAGTCATGACTCTTGGGCCCCAGGGTCAGGCTAAGCTGTCATATTGAAAAAAAAAAACCTTTGAGAATCTTTACTATAGACATCTAGATACCAAACTGTTCACAATTATAATGAGAAGCAAGGCCCTATGGGTCAAGGGTTTAGGTCAAATACAAATCACCTTTAAATATCTTCTCTTGGGCAACTGTTTGGCAAACTGCTTAATGATTATAATGAGCAGTTAGCTCTTTACCAAAGCTCTATATTTCATCACCCTTAGGTTCAGGCCCCGGGGTGAAATAAGCTGGTCATATACTCTGTATTACAATTTATTATGTAGTGTACATTTGAAAATCTTGTTCATGGATATTTAGTATGCAAATTGTTTGCAATGAAGGGGATAAACTATTAACTCTTCCTTAAATTGTCCCCAAGGTTCAGCCGCAAGCTGGTGTTAAGGTGATGATAAATTTAAAATACATAACGTCATTAAATCTTAACTCTGGAATATCTGAGGAGACATGCTCTAAGCAATGTGATAATAAACAGAATTTGCACCAAACTGTAAAATTCATAGTGTTTTCAGGGTTGTCCCTAAGACCCAGGGAATTTCCCCACCTATAATGATGTAATCCCCCGCTTATTCTGGTATTCCCCCTCAGCCCTCTGTTAGGGGAAGAACCTCAAACCCCCTTCTACTTTTTAAATGACCCCTGCTAATTCAATTTTTAGGGACAACACTGGTTCTGGACAGTCCTAGGTGAGACTGAGTTGGTCTTTGCCTGAGAAAACTCATGACTCTCAGGTGAGCACCAATGCCCTTGGGACTCTTGTTTTAAATAAACAAGCCATTTCATAGGGTATTGATATAATTTAAGTTGTTTTCTTTTTTTTTAATTTTTAACTAAATGTATTATTTTTTAAAACCTCTATTTAATAAAACTCATTTCGGCTACATTTGGCAACAAGGACTTGACTGAAGAAATTTCTTGACTTAAGTTTCTAAGTTTTTAGTTTCAAGTCTGTTTCTTGACTTAAAAAGAATCAATTCTTAATCTTAAATATAACTGCCAACAAAAGAGATACTGACTGAGAACTTTTTATATAAATTTTATTCAAATGATGAATATGTTCTATATACTTTATTAATAAGAGACAGATTGATGTATAATGTGAGAGGGAACTATAATCAAAGGTAAAAACACAGTCATGAGAGAGAGAGAGAGAGAGAGAGAGAGAGAGAGAGATGATTCAGGCCCCTCCTGTACAAACACAGCCAGTATTACTGTCACAGCTCAAATACCCTGAAAAAAAAAGACAGAAAATACACCTCTAATACACGGATAATCAAATTCCAGTTTTATTACGTTTGTAGAATTACACCTTTTCCTGTACTTTTTAATACAGATTAGTTCAATTCATAATAAGCAATGAAAACACTGTGGAACAACTTACAGAATAGTTCAGTCGGGCTATGGTGGCATGTTATTGTTATGACTTAAGTTTCCAGCTCTATTCATCAGACAGGCATACAGTACAGGTAACTCTCCTGACCCTGGCTGGGTAGTCTCCCCCTGACTCGCAGGACCTGTTGTTTTAACCACGCTATAGTTGCTTTGAGCGGAGAGAGACAAAAGTGGAATGCACGAGAACAATGGAATTAAATGGGCACACTAATAGCCTCTGTATTTAGACAATTTATTTGACAATGCTTACTAAATTTTAGAAGATAACTTAATATTTGTAGAAGGGATTATAAGATTACCTTAAATATCCCAATTTAATAATAAAACATGGGTAATCGAAAAAACATTCCTGCTTGCCTGTTAATACATTTACAGAGAGGGCAAGACAGCCCACCAAGTTTTTTCAAAGCATGACAGAATGTTTCCCACCCTGGCATACCTCAGTGTATAATGCCAACTTGTAACTAGATAACAAATATAGTTATCATATAAAAAAAGGATTTTTTTGTTTAAATCTTGGATTCAAATTAACAATGATGTAGGGATTGGCTATGGATTATTTCACTGGATGTTCATACATCTTTTAAAAAGGTAAATCAGTTTTTCTTTATAAGTACAGGAATGTACCAACTTGTACATTTTTATTTTATACAACTCAAAAACGAAGGTGTCTTAAAACAATTTGACTGATACTAATCAAATTAAAATATTTTTTACATTTGGCTATGTTTCAAACAATAAATGTATTGAAGGTATTTTCTTAAAAATAAAATTTGTGTCTTTTATAAATGTTTTTAGGAGGGAGTGAATTTTCACTTGGTGGTCTAAAAATCCAAAACTCTGTAATTCAGGGGACCTAAAAAGAAGTAGTAATTCTCTATTGTGAGCCTTTTTTGAATGAGTCTACACAAAGTATATCCACTTAAAACAATTAGTCCTCAGTAAAATTGTAGGTTTGTTTGTTTTTTTTTTCTTTTTAAATCTGTAATATTTGTTATGAATTTCTCATTCTGTACAGCTATAACTGTACAGTTTAAGACGGGCTATATGATATTTGACATTGACAGGTTAATTCAGATCAGACACATGACATCCTCCACCAGTAACTCAGAAATACCTGTGTTTTTTCACCTTCTGTCATAATACACAGGTAAACAGTTCAGTCCTGGGCAGAATCAGCCATACTTCAGTTATCATAAAGGCCAGGTAATTAATTACCTTGATCATTATTCTGATATCGATGGTGCTCATTCGGCTAAAAAACACAACTCAATCCTGGGGTTACTGTGGCCAGGGGACGGCTATCTCTTAGGTGGGTATCCTCGATGACCTGTCGATAGCTTCATTATCAAGTAGCTAAAGAAAAAAATATGTCCATAAATTATTGCATGTTATCAAACATAAAAGGTTGAGGTGTCAATGCTATGATAACTAAACATGCTCCAGGCATCCGAGTCTACACCTTTCGTCTACCACCTGGACCTGTGGCCAGATTGAGTGACCACCGATGACCCCTCTGATGTAGGACTTAAAATCAAAGGGTAACCACCCATTATGCACCCGCCTGTACTGAAACCTTAGAGTTTGGGTGCACAGGTTGTGAATAAATAGATGATGAAACTGATCTGTATTGATTATAACATTGGAATGTGGCGGAGTTGGCTTACAAGTAACCATGATTTTTAATGGTCTACAAATCAAATAATTACAAATAATTAAGCCAACATGGGAGACGAAAATACCAAGAATGGCAAGACTGTGTAGAATATACAACTCAAATTTTATGACCATATAAAACTATTATCAAACATTAAATTTCTTAACTTCAAAGACAGGTCTGAAATTTGATTAATTCTGAAGTATTTTGATATTTTATTGAAAGTTTTATGAATTTCTTTAGATTGTGTTTATTTATACTCTTATAGCAGCATTAAAAGCTCACTCCAGTCCTGGTGAAGTAGCAGCCATGATGAAACGAACAATGGCTGCGTTCTTTGTCACATTAAAAGGCTGAATAGCTGGGTAAATATAAAGAAAAACACTCCAAGTTCTCATTTCCTTTGTGCAGATTGACACAATCCAGATATGACTGGAGAAATAGAAAGTCTGAAAAACTTCTCACAATATAATCCAAATATTTTATTATTGATATGTTTCATCATTTTGTTTTAAAAAAAAGACACTTCTTTGACAATTTATATTTGCTGTATAATTTTTTGGCAATAAAATAATAATTTGACAACTCACGAAATTCACAACCATTTATAGCCCAAGAAAACCAACTAAATATCAACAATTTCATCTGAAATTAATGAATACTCATTTTCTCAAGAATAATTTGGAATTTACTTGTGTCCTCATTCTTTAATCATGTCCAATACCTTTGAATATCCCTATTTATTTTTACGTTCCATTTTTTCTTCTTTTTTTTTTTTTTTTTTGGTTGGGTATACCTGCACTTGGACATCAAAGGTGAAACTAATATTGCTGCAGCTTCACTTCCTCATTTTAAAAAAACAGATGTTTATTGATAATCCATTAGAGCTGTCAAATTGATTCGGGTTTCCTTTTAATTATAATCACTTTGCTTGGAAATGATCCAGTATAATATATCACTAAAAATTGAACTTCACTAAACAAACAAGTCGCTAATTGTGGGACAATTCTATATCCTCATATTGCCAGCCTTCTCCAACTCCCAGGAAATGGGACAACTCATCTGTATAATTCCTTTTCCTTTACGGAAAATAACACAGTCACCCCCCCCCCCCCAAAAATACTCCCATAAAATCATATAGGGTACATTCCTAGAATAAAAGGTCATGCATACACTGAAGTTCAGTGGGAAATAATCTGAAAAAATGAAGAAACTGTAAAATAGCTAGAATCTTCCATTTTTGTTTTTGTTTTTTTGTTTTTTTGTTTTGTTTTTTTTTTAAAGAATTGGAATTTGATGTCACTAAAAAAAAAAATGCACTGCAAACTCCTGCAACATTCAACTTATATGCCAACCATTTTATAAGTGACTCAGTAATTCAAGAGTATAATAATAACATAAGAAACACAGGATGGAGGGCCATATTTGAGACCAATTGTGGTGTCTCGTTTTAACTGCTGTAACTTGCACTGGAAAGCGAGGGGATGTGTCTTTCCAATGTTTACCACTAGTGTATATAAGTCAGCTTACTTGCAAGTCTGTTGTATTGTTAAAACTATTTTAAGAAATTTGCCACTGACCTGCTTAAAAGGTACAGTTCTTTTTGCCAAAATCTGTTGCCAATTTCAGATCAATATTCTATTGTATTTACCAGTGTTTCAAAATATGTTTTAGGGGTATGACACCAATATTTGATCTATTATTAACAATTTAAACAAAAATAACATCATTTCTTTTAACAAATTTCTTTTAGCACTTGTGCTTCATACATATGGTGACCTTAGATCTTCCTTTCCTGTATTAAAGAATTTTATATAAATGATAATTGTTTGAGTAATTACAAAATTACAATATAATTTTCTCTTCTGGAAAAATACCAATGTTTCTAGAACTCGCTTATAAGTTGGACATAGAATTTTGGACCAAAATATAACTCCGAAAAATCCAATTTATAGGGAAGTATATACAATTATATTTGTCACTGAAGTTCAGAATCCTTGATAACAAAATATAATATGGATTCCCAACATTATCTCCATTTTAAAATGGTGCATTTCTGATGAACCAGATCATGTGCACTGCAGTAGTTTGAAAATGATCCGACGGAATGATAAAAAAATATCTGAAAATCCCCATGGAAAAGAATCACCCTGCAGAAAATGTAATAAGCATCTTATTATATCAGTAAGAAAACAGAAAATTGGAATTTTATTTCATTATTATTATGTCATTCTTTCGATAAATGAAATTCATATTATATTGAAGGATCACTGAACTCTGTAACCCTTTCTTCCCTACTTGTTGCTTTTATCTACTACAAAATTGTACAAATATCAGAAAAATGCAGAGTTTTTTTTATGTAACATTTTATCTTTATATGGAGCTTACACTAAATGGAAAGGAATTTGTATCTTATAGTAATTTTTTCCCCAAGTCACCTCCATAAAATATTGGTAATTTATTTACAATAAAACAATGTAGAAGTTCATTTTTCTGACAGTATTAATTATGTGGTCACAAATTTGTCACAGAAATTTGTCCCAGTGTACTTAAAGTACAGTTAAAGCACAATCTGGCAATCTAAGAAATCAGCATAATTTTCTACCTGTGGATTGAACAGAAATTGTAATCCCAGGGAATTATGACTGTGGAAAAAAGTATGTTCAAAGTATGTTAAAACCAAACAAATTAACATTACCTGATTGGAATAAATGACCAACAAAAAAATCTGCAGTGACAATTTCAGTGTCATAACCGAGAGGCAATTTTAAAAAATCATAAGAGCACCTAATTAGAGTTAAAAAAAAATTCATAGCTCACACCAAGTTTTTTTTTTTTTTGTTTTTTTTTTTTTTAAATCATAGCTCATACAGTCAGATTTTTTTTTTTTTTTTTTAAAAATCAAAGCTCAACCAATCAAAGATTTTAAAAAAATCATAGCTCAAACAACAGAGATTAAAAAAAATTATACTTCAAACTATCAGAGATTTAAAAAATAATTAATGCTCAACCAATCCAAGATCAAAAATCATAGCTCTACTAATCCGAGATCAAAAATCATAGCTCTACTAATCAGAGATCAAAAATCATAGCTCTACCCATCAGAGACCAAAAGGTATTGCTCAATCAATCATGGATAACAAAAAAATCATTGTTCTTACTAATCAGAGATCAAAAATCATAGTTCTACCAACCAGAAATCATGGTAGCCATCCTAAAGTTATTTTGACAAGTACAAAACAATTGTGTATTTGACAACTAAGCATGGAGTCTCAGTTTTGCTGATCAGCAGACTTCTTCCAATATTTTTAACATTGCATGAAGAAATGAGGTGACAGCATGAAAAGTTATCTACAAATAAAGGAAATTAAATAAAGTTAATTTTTCAAAAATTTTTTTTTTTTTTTGCTTTTACATAAGACATGTACAGCTTCTATAGCATTATACACTTTGTCTCTTTAGGTCCCAGAACTCCTCATATGATGCTTGAGTGGTCAAAGTTTTGTTGGTGACCTTCGAATATTTGGTGGTCAAGTGGTCCTTATAAAGGTCACATCATTCACTCTGTCTTATCAGAGAATCTATAACTGTCTCTTCATTATAGGTGTTGATTGTCTCCCTTTAAGGTATGAAAAATAACAGCGTTATCTGCCCCTGGGCTACAGCTTGATCACTGAATCCATCATTACCCTTAATTAAGTTGTCAGAAGACTTCATGTGTTAAATAATGCTACACTTAAAAGCAATGAGTTGGAGTTTGTTTTTTAGGAAAATCAAAGAAGCCGTTATTAAACAGCTATGTAAATTATGCAGCATTTACTGTTATTAGTAGTTGCTATTACCATAAAAAATCATCCTGCCTCAAACTCATTCTGTGGTTCTAAAGGTAAATTAAGAAAACGGCTGCACATTTTCTGCATCTAACATGCCGCAAAATGATAAGTATTCGATTTAAAGACCTAATTTCGTGGAATTGAGATCAGTTTAACGGGTGAATTGTCTTTGAAGTTAGCTATAAAGTACACCATTTGCTGCGATACTGGACCACAGATATCATGTTAAAACAAGTCGTTACATCATTACAACCTGTTTCTATTGAACACTTCCAGCAATGTAGTAAAATACAACATATTTCTGGTTAATCTGGGCCCCATTCAGGGCATAATTTTTCACTTGAAAGTAATTTAACATTTCATCAAACTTGCAGATTTTTTTAATGGAAAAATTTTCAATGAATTTTCAGCATCATTGAATCCAACTTCAAAATTTCAAACTGGAAGATACTTCTATTGTAAAGATATTTAAATGCTACTGATTTTATGTTCAGGAGGAATTTGCAATAAGCATCACAAGTGAATAAGGAATTTTCCCCTTTGTTTATTTATTTTTTATCTATCTTTTTTTATGGTTTGAAATAAAATAAAAAATGAACACAAATGACCTTCAGTTACACTAGACCAATCCTCTTTAAACCCAAATATCTAGAATTGTGCAAATCTAAAAATCATGTACCAATAACCTATCTAATTAATTTTTTAATGCAATTTAAGTTAAAGAGAAGATATTGGATTTCAACAAGTCATTTTAAATTCACACTATTCTTTGCCTGATAAGAACGTGGAGCCTGTAGTACAAAAAAATGCAATTCAGTCCTCAAATTACAGTTTGGTTCGATGTATAAATTGTATAATCAGAGTCA